TATATGTGTATCTAAAGGTTACAGTTTACAAGTGGACATACTAAACTACTGACGCAGAAGAGAATCTGTATGTGTATCTAAACGTTACAGTTTACAAGTGGACATACTAAACTACTGGTGCAGAAGAGAATCTGTATGTGTATGTAAAGGTTACAGTTTACAAGTGGACATACTAAACTACTGACCCAGAAGAGAATCTGTATGTGTAACTAAACGTTACAGTTTACAAGTGGACATACTGAACTACTGACGCAGAAGAGAATCTGTATGTGTAACTAAACGTTACAGTTTACAAGTGGACATACTGAACTACTGACGCAGAAGAGAATCTATATGTGTATCTAAAGGTTACAGTTTACAAGTGGACATCTGAACTACTGATGCAGAAGAGAATCTGTATGTGTATCTAAAGGTTACAGTTTACAAGTGGACATCTGAACTACTGACCCAGAAGAGAATCTATATGTGTATCTAAAGGTTACAGTTTACAAGTAGACATCTGAACTACTGGCGCAGAAGAGAATCTGTATGTGTATCTAAAGGTTACAGTTTACAAGTGGACATCTGAACTACTGACCCAGAAGAGAATCTGTATGTGTATCTAAAGGTTACAGTTTACAAGCGGACATCTGAACTACTGACCCAGAAGAGAATCTGTATGTGTAACTAAACGTTACAGTTTACAAGTGGACATCTGAACTACTGACCAAAAAAGAGAATCTGTATGTATATGTAAAGGTTACAGTTTATAAGTGGACATACCTGCTGACCCAGAAGACAATATTTACGTATATATCAAAATATACATACCATTCTCCAGCTAAGAAGCTTCTCCTCATTGTCTTGTCCTGGAAACAGCATTGGTAGAAGGGGCTGTCCAAACAGTTCATTCACCACAGATGCTTTAGCCCAACAGTTCTGCCCAAGAATAACAACCCCCAAAGGTTGTTCAGTAATCTTCCAAACAAACTCTTCATCATCAGTTGAAAGTTTTACTCTAAGCAATTGATCTGAAGATAATAAAAGAAATAAGCACAGTCCATAACAATGAATGAAACAAAGTTATACGGTTGTTCTTATTAGTTTATTTATAAAAAAAACTACAGAATTTGTATGTGTACAATGTAAAAAAATGAGTACAAACCATTACAGAAAAAGAGTAAAATATTCAATTCAATTCTAACAACTGTTATTTAGTGATCTGCAGATATATATATTGACAGAAAAAAGTTTTTTACAACAGTCTTTACATTTAACAACAAGGTAGGAATTTACAATTTAATTATGATATTAGAGAAATTATTACATTGACAATGATACTGATATAACATGTTTTAAAATTTACACTGTATTACCATTTTTACAGAAAGTCTCTGTGTTTAAATCAAAGTGTAGTGACACATAAAAGTATATTTACACCTAGTAATGTGAAGTGTGGTGACACATGCAAGTACAGTTACACCTAATAGTGTGAAGTGTGGTGACACATGCAAGTACAGCTACACCTAGTAATGTGAAGTGTAGTGACACATGCAAATACTACACCTAGTAGTGTGAAGTGTAGTGACACATCCAAATATAGCTACACCTAGTAGTGTGAAGTGTAGTGACACATGCAAATACTACACCTGGTAGTGTGAAGTGTAGTGACACTAGCAGGTACAGATACATCCAGTAATTTGAAGTGTAATGACACATGCAACTATAACTCACCTGTAACGTGAAGTGTAGTGACACATCCAAATATAGCTACACCTAGTAGTGTGAAGTGTAGTGACACTAGCAGGTACAGATACATCCAGTAATTTGAAGTGTAGTGACACATGCAACTATAACTCACCTAGTAATGTGAAGTGTAGTGACACATCCAAATATAGCTACACCTAGTAGTGTGAAGTGTAGTGACACTAGCAGGTACAGATACATCCAGTAATTTGAAGTGTAGTGACACATGCAACTATAACTCACCTAGTAATGTGAAGTGTAGTGACACATCCAAATATAGCTACACCTAGTAGTGTGAAGTGTAGTGACACATGCAAGCGTGGTTGTTAAACAATACAAAGATGAAGGATACAGTTTTTCAAAGAAAAATTATCTTAATGTTCTACATGAAAGCAGTCGTTAGGCCAGTAATAAACTTCGAAACCATACAACAGTATAATCCAGAGCACCACCCTCATGCACAAAATAAAGGTTATGGTTACAAGGAAACAACCCTACAACTCAAAAGAGCTATAGGAGAAACTACAGTCCACAGCAGTGGGTACAGCCAATCAAAGAAAACATTAGGTCTGTATGTCACGGATTCTCCTTTCAATTGGACCTTTGTTGAAATTGGAAGAAAAATCTGTAACATATATATTTAATCATTAAATACTTGGTCCAGTATATAATGTGAAATGATGATTTAGACACGAGCTATTCAAATATCTGAATTATTTTAGGTTACTTTATAAGTGATTGAAAACGACTTAAAAACCTCATTAATGGAAAATAATTTGATTTTTTTAATTTAGCCTCCGTTGATTAAAGAGGTTTTTTTTTTATATGTTAAAAACGTTAGTGATATAAAATAAAACAGCTTAATTCAGAAACGACTTAAGTTTAAAATTGAATCCATATTTTTACTTTCATGATAAATTTTATGCACTTGGCTCTAGGCTAGGTGATCCCACACTACGACTTTACTTTAGGCTTATTATACCAACACTCACTGCAATTATAACGTTTCATGGCACACACACTCTCACGGCCCCCTTGCAATCCCGTCACTAAAATTGCAACGGGCAGACAGTAATCGAACAATTCTATCTGGATAAATGCACTTTGGCTTTTATGACTCCTCCTATTTTGAGAAATGAAGTGTGATATGACACACACTGGCCTTTATATAGGTTAGATAATGATTTAGAAAAGCTTCCCCACCTCTATAAACTATATACATGTCAGGAATTCTACAACAAACCAACTGTTTGTATCTGGTTCATAGTAATACAACATGGAAAGTAAGGTAATACTCTAGAGATTGACCATACATGGACCAAAGCCCAAAGTCCTCTACTGTAACATTAGTGTTGGAAACCACATGGTAATAATATATATATGTGTGTGTGTGTGTGTGTGTGTGTGCATTTTATATGACTAAAGCGTCATTGTTCAAACAATTGTTTAAAGTTCTCATTTTTAAAAAATTAATAAAATTTTGAACTGTTGAAACGTTTTCCCCAGTTAGGAACAGGGATGATGTTCTAATTGGAAATACAGGCCATTACGTATCCCCAACAGTGGAAATAAAAAACATTAGGAAATCTTTAATAGCTGCCGAACTTGAAGTTTTTTTAGGCAGGATTAGAGTAAATTAATGACCTTGGGCATGGTCAAATACATCAATCGAAAGGGTTTGACCTCCCGAGTCCAAAACTGTAATTAGATCTCAAATCAGTCAAGAGATGGCAGAGTTTTGAGCTAAATGTTTGTACTTGAAAAACAACAACAAGAGGGAACCCTCAGTAGTCGCGGCTGTAATTAGATCTCAAATCGGTCAACAGATGGAGCTATGAGTTAAAAGTTTGTACTTGAAAAAAAATCTCGAAGCCATTCTATGAGCCGCTATTTCTCGGCTGAAAAAAAAAAGAACCGTGCTATGAGCCGCTATTCCTCGGCTGAAAAAAAAAAAGAGCCGTACTATGAGCCGCTATTCCTCGGCTGAAAAAAAAAAAGAGCCGTACTATGAGCCGCGGCTACCAAAAACTTTAACCTACAACTAGATGTCTCACGTGCACCGATATCGGCGGCGTACACTGCCCTACCGTAATATTCAACGGGCGATCAGACAGTCACGGTTTGTGTTACCACTATATATGTCTGTACGTCAGATGCATATTATCCTCACACTGGTGGTGCAATTATACTGGTCCCAATACCACACTATTAATTATTTCCTCACTTCAAAGTAATTACAGAACCCGAAGGATGAGAGTTCATTCACGAGGACGACACGGAAACATTTTGTTAGAGGGGGGTGGTGGTTCTAGGAAAAATGAGCAATTAAAGCGTGTGTCAAATGTTAAAATATTTAGGCAAGTGTTACATCCTGTGTCATCATATAAAACTTGGATAAATTTAGTCTACAAAATTACACATACCAACAAGATGAAAGGAACAATCTGATATTGAAGGTATTAAAAACTACAGCACTAACACTAACTGATACAGATAAAAACTGATATTCTGTTGATTAAAATATACCATACGGCCACGATATGAACTGATAAACAGACAAAAACTGATATCCTGTTAGAATATACATACAGCCACGATATGAGCTGATAAACAGACAAAAACTGATATCTTGTTGACTAAAATACATCAAGCAGGCAGGATATGAACAGACAAAGATTGATATCCTGTTGATTAAAATATACCATACGGCTACGATATGAACTGATAGACTGACAAAACTGATATCTTGTTGATTAAAATACATCATGCAGGCAGGATATGAACTGATAAACAGACAAAGATTGATATCCTGTTGATTAAAATATACCATACGGCTACGATATGAACTGATAAACAGACAAAGATTGATATTCTGTTGATTAAAATATACCATACGGCTACGATATGAACTGATAAACAGACAAAGATTGATATCCTGTTGATTAAAATATACCATACGGCTACGATATGAACTGATAAACAGACAAAGATTGATATCCTGTTGATTAAAATATACCATACGGCTACGATATGAACTGATGAACAAATAAAGATTGATATCCTGTTGATTAAAATATATCATACAGCCAGGATATGAGCTGATAAACAGACAAAGATTGATATCCTGTTGATTAAGATATATCATACAGCCAGGATATGAACTGATAGACAGACTAAGATTGATATCCTGTTGATTAAAATACATCATGCAGGCAGGATATGAACTGATAAAAATTAGACATACTAAATAAGTAACTCCCTGTACAGCAACACACGAAAAGCACGGTTTTTATGACAACTATTTTTAAATCATGCTTAATATAAAATATCCATCAGAATGGTCAGTTTCACAGTCACGGATCATGATCATAGTTAGTAACAACACCGATATATATTTTAATTGTTGACTGGCAGGTTCATAATGTGTTGATCAGAGTTAGTAACAACACCGATATATATTTTAATTGTTGACTGGCGGGTTCATAATGTGTTGATCAGAGTTAGTAACAACACCGATATATATTTTAATTGTTGACTG